TGAACAGCCTGAGGAGCCGCGAGTACTGGGACTATGAGTCGCACGTCCCGAGCTGGGGGTAAAGCCGCCGCCGCCGCCCCTCGATCCCCGCTCCCCGCCTGGCCTTTGGGGCGCGAACCGCATTCACCCCCCGGCGATCTGGCCGGGCGCCTGTCCCTCCCGCGGACCCCCGCGTCCTCGTGGCCGGCTTGGGGGCAGAGTGTCCCCTCGCACCCGAATCCTGTGCCCCTTTCTCCCCTTCTGCAAAGCCCTCTGCTTCCTCTCTCCAAGGGGCGCTTTCTTCCTGGGGGGAGGGGGCGAAGCGGGGCATCCCTTCCTCCTGCAGCTTTGGGATGGGAACTGAACCAGCTGTCCTGGATGATGACCGTTCTCTGCTTTTCCCGTTCTGGGGGGCATTTTTGTCTTTCTAAGTGGGGATGGGTGGCAGGAAATGTTGCCGAGTCTCCAGCTGCTCCCAGCAGGCTCTGTGTTGAGAGTGTGAAATGAGGCAGGAGCGAGGGGGGCCAGTGCCTTGTGGCCTCCAGCGTGGATGCTCCGCTCAGGCTGTCGATGGGCTCCGAGCTGGACTATCCTCTCAGCAACCCTCCCCCCCCACACACACACACACCCCGAGTTTACAGGGGTAAATGAGGCTGGGCACTCTGCGGAGTGCAGGGACCCAAGCTGAACTTGTGGCTTTCATTTAGGGAGTGAGTCTTGATGGGATGTATCGCCACTTCCAAGTGTTTGATTAACGAAAGCGGCTGGGCGAAGTGTATAGTGGACGGAGACTTGGTAAACCCCAAGACCTGGCATTTATGTGTCTCTCTTGCATTTTACAGTAATCAAGATGATTACCAACTGGTTCGAAAACTTGGTCGAGGGAAATATAGTGAAGTATTTGAGGCCATTAACATCACCAACAATGAGAGAGTGGTGGTAAAAATTCTCAAGGTGAGTGTCTTATGAAGGACCTTGTTGTTGGGGGGTTTATTTCCTTACAGGTCAAAAGAATAGCTGCTCCAGCCACATTCTAGAATAAGCATATCAACTCTAATTTTAGGAGTGTCCACTAGCATGCCCTCCACCTTATTTACCTGCTAACTTCCAAGAAAACATTGTGCAGACAGGTCTCAAATTTGAGCATATGATGGTTCAGGAACACCTTTGTTTTAAAATTGAAACTGAACTTTCTGAAAGCAAAAATTCCTAAGTAACTTCCCTTATCACAAATTAAAGAGGTATTTAAAGTGTGGAAAAGCCTTGAGTTACTTTTGTTAGTAAAAGTGAAACTTGGGGACCATTTATAATCACTGAAATGACACTTGGGACAATATCTTACTATCTGGTTCAGTGGCCTAAGCTTCATAATGATATGCTTTTTATCATCTCTTGAATGAAGACATGATCTTAAGGAGCATGAAATGTCTGAGATATCCTCCAGACGAGTAATCACTTGTGTAGCGTTAATTGTATCCTAAAATGTGGAATTCTTGGAACTTAATAGGTCCTCATTAGCAGGTCATTTAACGCAAGTATGAGCCCTTTAATTGAAACACTGAGAAGACTGAAAAGTAATAGAAACACTATAATATGTATGTAAAATTTCCAGTTTGGTTATTTTGTGAAATAAGAATGTGCCATTTAAAAGTTGTTTTGTATCTAAGACTCATTGTTTTGTATCAGTGTTAGAGCAGCTGTGTTGGTAGTCCCTCTTGTTGAAATGAGAGGCAAGGCTCTTATCTTTTGGGCATAACTTTTCAGAGAAGTGGCGGGCTCCATCACGCATGATCATCTTATCCTAGTGATGAAGGAACATGATGGCAGAGAGAAATAAGCAGTTATTTGTGCTCTTACAAACACTGGGAACAGATTGGTGTTGAAGGTTTGGATTTTGATTTCCATATTCCTTTAATGGGCAACAAAATCACATGGTCCTCCTTTTTTAAATTTTTTTTTTTCCAAAAAGTAAGTTTGAATACTCCCCTCAAGAGATAGCCATGTAATTTATTCATTTAAGTCTAAATAATTTCATAAAAGTTACATCCAGTCTTAATTGAAAATAAACATAAATTGACATTAGACATTTTCACATTCCTCTGCTGTTCATTTTTCTCCCTTTCATTGCTGTTGAGTCTGAATCGAGTCATAGCTGACCCTCTAGTAGGTTTTTAAAGAACACAGGAGATTGTCCATCTTTCCTCTATGAAGCAGCTGGTGAATTTGAACCACATGCCTTTGTATTGGCAGTGCAGTTTGCTTCCCACTCACTAGGCCACCAAAATTCCTATGTGTTTAGTCAGACTCAATAGTTGACTAAAGCAGTTCTGTAAAAAACTTGTAGACTTTTACGAAACGGCAGCACTTCTAGAGTAAGTTTCTAGAATATGACTTGTCTTTTCAAAAGAAACAGGTTTAAATTTGAGTATTAGTATGTTCATTTAGGAAAGGATTACATTACTCATCTCACTACAAACTTGATAGCAGCATTGCTGGGTGGGTTTTCACTTTGTAGATTTTCAGGGTTTGGGAAGAGGGTACCCATGATTTTTTCCCTGGAATAGCCTCCATCATTTCCTTTTCAATGGTGAAAACGATTTTGAAAGCTATGTAGCATGTCTCTTCAGAGTTCATTCTTGGATAAGGTGTAAATATTAGGTAAGAAATCACTCATAGTATCATTTGTGGTTTGTTGTAATAAACGGAATTAAAATTAATGGGGATTTTTTTTTATTAAAAGTACAGAGTCCAAAGTTTGTTCTTCTAGTCACATAAGTTAAAGCAGTGACTATCCTCTATACTTTTGTGGTATTTGGTCAAAGAAAATTAAATCCTTACCAGAGTATCTCAGCAGCTCATAATTTGGGGGACTCAAGCACTTTCATTTTATATCGGCCTTCTATATTGGAAGGACCTTCTGCAGGAAGGAACTTAAATGTATTGTGGCGTCAGGGTGGAGACAGAAGGTACATTGTTTGGAAATGGGACCTGTCTTCCTTTTTCATCAATAACCTTTGCAGCCAGTCCTTTCCAGTATGTGAGAATGGCATCTAGTGAGAAATTTATGTCATTTTGCTTTTTTTCATCAGTAGATTTCCAAGTACTTTATTTGTCAAAATACGCAGAGGCTATTATATTACTTTAGCAACTTAGAAATTGTTGAGAAAGATTTTACTGTCTATCCTCTAGTAAATATCTAGGGCTAAAAGTTAGTGATGAGTGTTATCATTTGCCATCAATTTGGAACCAGCTAACTGCTGACTCTCTGGCAGGTTTTCAGAGGCTGTAAATAGCACGAGAGAGGATTGCCCATGTTTCACCCATGGAGTATTTGGAGTCAAACTGTGTCTTCATGTTGGCTGTGCAACTCCTTACTGTCAGGCTCCCAAAGCTCCATTAGTAATTAGTCGAGAGCAGAAATTGTTTGGATGTGAAAAAAAAAGAGAAGGAATGGTAACAGGTCAGAGAGAGCCCTTTAATGCCCACAGTTTCTAATCTTCATTCTAAAAAATCAATTCTTTAGTTCCTTTGTAGTGCTCAAGCAGGTGTGCACAGCAATAAGTGTTTAACCATTTTTTACGCTCTTTCAGCACTTTGTGAGTCACACCTGTGTATGAATTTCAGGCCTTCTTGAGATAACTTTAAATTATGATGCTATTCTTGGATAGAAGTCAAGCATTGCCATCTTTAAGAAACATGTATAGTGTTTTGAACCCGTGCTACAGTGGCTTGGAAATTTCCCAAATAAGACTACCTGTTAATAGTGTTGTTCTACAAATAGCTGCTACCTCTGTCCTCCCAAAGATAGATAATACAAATGACTTTTTTTATTATTATTATTGTGTGTGTGTGTGTGTGCGCGCGTGTGTGCGTGCGTGCCGTCAAATCAGATCTGACTGGTACAGGAGGAGATTGTCCCTCCTTCCCCGGCAGAGCATCTGGTGGATTTGAACCGTGCGCCTCTGGGATTGTAGTTGCAGCTTCTTGCCACTAGGCCACCAGAGCTCCCCTACAAATGACTTTTAAAGCATGTTTAGCAGATTTGCTTGTAGAATTTTATTTAGGCAAGAACTAGTGTTGAAAGAATGGTTGCATGATTACAAATTCTTCTTAGTAACTTTGGAAGTTAGCTGGTAACTAGATCAAATCAGATTTATGTTTTTGCTGTGTGGTAAGAGTGCTTTCTTTTTTTATTTTTACTTTCCTGTGGGGTAGGGTTTTTTTACCATCTGTTTATTTTGTTAGCACGTATACTAAGGCATCTTCCTACAGCAAGATGTTAGTATTAAAGTATTTCAGTATTGTGTGAGTTCTGGTTCCGACAGATGCCTTCAAAGTGCTATAAAAGTAGCTAAAACAATATTATTAAAGCGCTAATCCCTTTCTCATTGCCATCGACTTCAAGATGACCCATAGCTGACTCTCCAGTGGGTTTTGCAAGGCTTTAAACCTCCTGCAGGAGAGTGCCTATCTTTTTCCTATGAAGCAGAAGGTGGGTTCGAACTGCTAGAGAGGTGTGGCCTTTCTCCCCCACCTTTCCTTTTTATTTGGTTATTGTGGTGGGATGTTTAGTAGCACAGCTGCACACAGACTAGGCCCTGAGAGCTCCCAAAAGTATTAACCACCTTAAAAATGATGGAAATTTGGAAAGCTGTACATGAAATGATTGTTACTACTTCTAATATTGTGGTTGTAGGTTCAGATATTAAGCAGTATAATCAGTCTACATTGAGGAGAATTGCTGGATGTGGGGAGCCCAGCAACCTTCAGAATCCAGACGTGTGTGTGTGTCTGTGTGTGTGTCTGTGTGTATATATGCGTGTATGTATATATATATGTGTGTGTGTATGTATATATATTCATTCCACTATATTCCACAAACACAATGCCGTTTCCTCTCAGTCTCATAATTTAGGGTAGTATCAGTCATTTTAGTGGGTGGTATGCCTAATGGATCGGGGTGCTCACTGGAAGTTCTGGTATTTAAATCCACTTTCTTCAACTCTGCAGAAGAAAAATGGGGAACTTTTCCTCCCATAAAGGTTTATACTCTTGGAAACCTAATGGAGGACCCCTGTGGGTTGAAACCAGTTGAGTCGATTTGGGGAAGTATACTCATCATCTTGGTAGATGTGAGGAGCACAGTTGGGACATTTCCTGGATGTTTGACTTCTTGATGTAATAGACTACTAGAAGGATTTAGGAACATTCGCCAGAAGTCAATTGAAATCGATTTGTTTCCAATGATTTTTGGAGTAACTTTTCTGAAAGGGAATACTTGGCCTTAGAGGGTTGCAAGTTGAAGAGTGAAATGGTCACAGATCTGTAGGAACCCAGGCAGCGGTTCTGTAGAATCCCAATCCACAGCAGCATGTTTAATACGTACATGGAATCTTACTGTACTCGTTTGGTTTGAAGCCTAAGTAGGAAGTAGTATATTGTACTTATAAAATCCATCTCCCAAGTCTCATCAGTGATAACCAGCAAGATTATAAGTTGGCATTCATTGGAGAGTAAACTGTATATGAACAATAATATTTTGATAAGAGTATGCATTTTCATATGTAGAGCATAGTTTCACACAATTTCTAGAGCTTAATATCAGAATTTGCTGTCTTCAGGAGATAAAGTGAAAGAAACAGTGTAAAAGCAGAGCAGAAGACTTGAGTTCTAGGACTGGCTTCTTCAGTCACTCTCCTTTTACTCTTATTTTTTTTTTCATCTGTAAGATGAGTATGCCTTTCCTGGTTAAAGCACGGGACTGTTGGGAGACGATAGATAAATTGATAGGTAGGTGAATGACAGTGCTTTAATAATTTACAAAGTCTTTATTCTTCCCTCAGAATGTGTGTGCTGGGAAATGGACTACCTGGATTTAGATATTATCTCTGTGCCTCAGTTTCCTCTTGTAAAGTGATATTAATAATGCTTTTCTCTCAGAAGATGAAGTGCATTTTAAACAATGCCTGACAATTGGAAAGCAGTGAAATATTGCCAGTGTTACAGTCAGGCCAAGCGAATGATTTTAGAGCGTAGAAAAGGCTATATTATTCTCCTGGTAGGTTCTAAAAGATGTAGTTTATGCCTGCTTTTTTAATTTAATTTTTTTCTTTTTAAATGCTGAGAGTTACCCTTAAGGTACTTGTAATATACCTTTGGAAAGATGCGACTTGCAAGATCAGAGAGAATGTTGCTGTGAACAACGTAGTTCAGATGTTTAAGTCAGCTGTGGTGGATTCTAGAGGGGCTACCAAGGTAAAAATAGAAAAGCTGTTGTAGAGGCTGACCTTCAGCTTTATTGCATCTTCCTGCATTCCTGGCACCCACTGTACACTGTAATTGTTTACTGCAAGTGATGAAATTAATTTCTCAGGGACAGTCAGTGGTTTGGCAGTAGAGTAAAAGTAACCTTAGAGTTGACACTTCTGAGCCATTTTTCTGCCTGTGTTAAAATCAGTTAAGTTGTTTTTGCAAGGATATTTTCAAATGCTACTTTCCTTGTTAATACGTGTGAGCTTTTATTAAGGTCCTAGTTTTTGCCTTTCATAGACATGAGTTTGCAAACTCCTTCACAAATAGATACTCGGTAGCAATGCAACTGCTTCTCAGGCAGGCTTTTTTTAAAAAGAAAAAAAAAACCAAAACAACCCAACCCTGCATAAATAGGTAGGACAGGGGGTGTTTACCACCTAATTTAGTCTTTAGTAGTTTTTAAATATTAGTAGAGACAAAGTACTAGTATGTGTGGATGATTTGTCCAGGATTCTCCTGGGTAACCACACTGCTCACCACCTGGACAGAAACCTTCTAGTATCTTTTTCCTTTTTAGAGCTCAGGCATAGAAAATTTTACCTGTCTTTTTTGCCATTAAAATATTCTAAGTGTGTGCCAAAATTTATTATCAAAACTTGATTTACAATTTCGTATTCCTTTTAATTAGGGATCTCTGGTGGCTTACTGATAAGGAATTGCACTACCATTGCAGAGGTACACTGTTCGAATCCACTAGCTGCTGCATGGGAGAAAGACGAGCAATCTCCTCATAGGATTTACTTTCTCAGAAAAGCAGCTGGAGGGTCAGCTGTGGGTAGGTCCTGACTCGCTGGTACATAGCAATTCCTTTTAATAACCTCCATCATTTTATCTGCTAGACCTGGCAGAAAAAAATCACTTGGAGAACCACTAAACTGGTTCTGTTGGAGTCTTAAACAGAAATTTTGTGAATTTATAAATTACTTCAATAGGAGTTTCTTTCAGTGAAGAACAAATCATGAGGTTGCCGTGGAAATGTCTGTATTTTCTTCACTTTGTGTAACTGCTGGTGATGGAATACCAGCTCTGGGCAGGAGGGTCATGTCATCCTTATTTCTGTGAAGCCCCTGATGTAGATTCTTTATAATACCAGCGCTCCTCCCTGGGATGTGTTTGAGATAAGGTAATCTTATATATAACCTGCCCCAATCCTTTGTAAGTCTTGGCTTTTCTCTCAGTTGCTTTTGTAGAATTAAAATGCTCACTTTGACTCCCTTGACATAACTGTGACTTAGCTTGTAGAATATCCCAGATTTCGAAGACTGAGCTAGGGTTAGACACTGAGCCGACAGGTAGCCTGGTTCTTAAAGGGCCATGTGGGCGCACCCTGGGGAGGTTTCCTGGGTGCTTTGCTTTAACAGTAGTAGGATTTGGTTGCTCTAGCGCCCCTCGGAGCTGCCTTACTGGCCTAGTACCTACAGCTCATTAGACGGGGTGACATTTCAGCGGCCACACTGCTTCAGTGGCTCTGCAGCTCACCTTGATAGGAAGCCAGACCTCTCAATCTCAGCTGCATTATTGAGGAGCATGGTGCCTGCCCGACTTACTGCGGACTAGCAGGAGAGCAAAGCAAGGGGACAGTGTCACTAAAACGACTTCCTGAATGAGACGTATTATTGGTGTTAGCGGATTTTGAGGCTTGGTTCTTTCACCTGACAGTTGCGCTGTCCCCGTAGCTTTTCCTTGGCTGTAATCTTCACAGGAATATATCAGAAGGTCTTTTCCCCCCGTGGAGTTGCTGGATAGGTCCGATTAGCCGTGGACTTGCACTGTGTTTCTGGGGCTCTTCATTTAGTGGATGGCCCCCATACTGCTTCACTGGTAGGGATGGAGAAGTTGTATAAGGCTTTTGGTGAGGTGCTTTTCTGCTTCATTCCTCCTACCTTGTAGCAGTTTCACTTTGAAAGGCATTGGCTGAGTTTATGGGTAAAATGTACAGCTTCAGTTTTCCTTCTAACTTGTCTGACATAATGTCATACTTACAGGAAAGTTGCATGAATTCCCATGTCTCTTCCACCGACATGCCCCCAGGTTAGCGCTTGCTTTCTTTCTTCACCCTCTCTGCTTGTGTATTTTATACATACAAGCATGAATACATGCGTATTACCTATATATCCCTGCACAGAGTAATTGTTCTTGAAATACTTGACTGCAGCCATTCCATACACTTGAGTGTATATATTTCCTAAAGACAAGGACAGTTTCTTTCCTGACCCCACAGTGATATGATCATAATAATTAGGAAATTAACATTGATAAAATTCTGTCATCCCATCTACAGCCTCTACCCATTTTTACGATTGTATTCATAATGTTCCTTAGTGCAAGAAAATCTCAACTGTGTGTTACATTCTGTTGTCCTATTTTTCTAACATGGAAAGTTGTTCAGTCTTTATTTCACAAAACTTAATAGTTTTGAAACTTAAGATCTGTTTCCTGCCCCGCCCCAGAAAATCAGACCTTTTGTCATTCATTCACTTCTGACTTCTAGCAAGCCTGCAGTACTGAGGAGAGTGGTGCCCCATACAGTTTCCAAGGCTGTCCTTGTAGAAGCTGAATGCCACTTACTCTGTGGAATGGCCGAATAGTAACCAAGTGTGATTAGTAACCAAACTCTTAAACCACCAGTGTGTTAAGTTTGTTGACGCTGCTGCTTGTTGAGTACTAGTGCATCAGAACTGACTCATAGCTGACTGGAAGCAGTAAAGCACGCTGGTGTGGATTGGCTGTCTTTATCCCAAGAGAAGCTGGGAGTATTTGAACCTCAAGCCTTTGAGTTGGCAGTTAACTCCTTCCCACTAAGCCACCAGAGCACTCTTTTTTTTTTTTAACAACTAACTGCACTGTTATTTTGTATGCCTCTCACATGGGTTCTGCAGGTGTTTTTTTAAATCTATTTTTACAGAGTATTGTACTCTTAATTACGAAGTCAGGAGTATGGTTCCTAAATAGTGAGAAGAAAGAGACACCACAACAGCTCTGCTCTCCTGGAGCCCTAACAAAGGGAAGAGATTGAGAATGTTCATCGTGGCTCACTTTAGAAGATGGAACCAGAATCTAGTCTCTTGATCGGGAACTTAGTACATGATGCCAGTGACTCTCTTTTTACTTTTCCTCTCTCACTTTTGTTGGATCTTTTTGACAAAATGTGATTCTCTGACACGTAGGTATATGCTGTGTCTCCTCTATGTGCCTCCCCCAGCCGCTACGGACTTCTGTTTTATGCATCATGGAATTAAAGTGGCCTTTCTTTGCCACTGTTGTTACTGCAACAGTGTCTCAATGATGGCGTATTCTTTTCCCTTAGTTTCTTCCTTTAGGCACACCTGGAAGGCAAAAGCACAATGGATTTGAATCCTGTCTCCATTCCTTGCTCTTAACTGTGACCTTGGGCAAGTAGCTCAGCTTTACTAGTCTACTGCATAGGATTTTGTGAGGATTTAACATACTCATGAAGTTGAGTCTATGTGCTAGTATTACTGATAACTTAAAAATTATAAAGGTATCTTGTGGCCTAGTGGCAGGAAGCTGCACTGCAATTGCAGAGGTGCGCGGTTCAGATCCACCAAATGCTGTGCTGAAGAAGGAGGGACAATCTCCTCCTGTACCAGTCAGATCTGATTTGACGGTACACACGTAAAAAAAATTTTAAAAAGATAAAGCTAATATTCAGTGATTTGTTCAGTCATTGTTCTAAGTGCTTTATAAGCATGTGATTGTTACAGATTTTTATTTTCTTAGTACTGCATTTATCCTCTTATCCCTGTACAAGACAGAGAAATAATGTATAATGCTAGTATTTCTAAATAAGTTCTTTAATTTTTTTCTATCAGAAAATTTGCATATGGTAGAGGTTTTGAATTACTGATCTGTTAGGAATCAATATTCTCCTTTGCTGATGCAGCATCTTTTTTGAAATGGAATCTGTTTGAACACTTCACTGGCTCTACTGATTTCAGTTTCTAGATATTAAGGAAATGGGAGTGGTGACAGGAAACAGGAGCCAGCAGCTGGGAAACAAGTTTGTAACTTGATGTCAGTGAACTGGTGTGCGCTCCTCGAAGACAAATGACATGTAACTCATTGGATGAGCAGGTGTCTCACCGTTTTGGTTCACTTTTTCCATTTGTGGGTGTGTGATACACAACTGTTCAGAGCCAGGATATCTTCCACTTGGCAGCTGTCTCGTAGGCAAGCATTTTATTTTTAAAGTGTGACATTGAGTGTTCAAAATTTTTAAATCCTTTAAATGTAACTACTTACAGATTCAACAGTAAGCTAGCCGAGTCTACAAATTATTTAACATAATATTAAGGTCTTACAGGCCAGCCCATTTTGGTTTTATTTGTAGGCATGTTCTTTAACACAACTTGGTGAAAGATAGTGCAGTAACCATTTATTTGGCTAATAATTGTTTTGAAGATTTGCGTGTTTACCTCAAAAGGAGCCTCACTTCTGATTACTCTTGTGTATTTAAGCCAGTGAAGAAAAAGAAGATAAAACGAGAGGTTAAGATTCTGGAGAACCTTCGAGGTGGAACAAATATCATTAAGCTGATTGACACTGTAAAGGACCCTGTGGTAGGTGCCTGATGGTTGGGGGAGTACACTGGAGGACTGTGGTGTGGTGTGTGTGTGTGAGAGAGAGAGTGAGAGTCATCACAGCTTTTGTGGAACCCTGTTTCAAGTCCGTGATCCTACTGTTCATCCACAAACACTTGGCAAATAGCTCCTTACGGACACTGGGCATAGATATGATGGCTGTATGGATCACAGCCCCTGTCTGTAGGGAAGCAATATTGCTCTTTCTCTAGAAAAATCTTTCATTGAGCATCTGTCTTATTTCTGCAGATAAAATGAAAATACCTTTTTAATAATACTTCATAGCTAATTTAGATTGTTTTTTTTAATTTGTGTTCCTGGGAAGTAACTTAGTGTTAGTTTGTTGGTTAGCCCCTTTTATACCATATCTGTTCTCCACCTGCTTCACCTCAAATATCTCCCTGTTATCCTTTCATGATAGATCAGTGTTTATTATTTAAGCAGTAAATCTTCTGCTTGCTAAAGATCTCTTAATAATAGTTAATACTCATTGTGCATTTACCACATGCCAGGCTCTTATCTCAGTGCTTTATGGTAGCCCATCATTAACTCTTAAGAGCAGTCTACTAGGGTTAGATTATACCATTGTTGTCCACATTGTAAAGATGAAAAGATTTGAGTACATAGAGGTTAAGTAATTGCACATGATTACACAGTGTTGAACTAGAAGCTAAAGTTTTTCCTTTTGGACCCTGAAGACAAAAGATAGTTGTATGCCGTATTATTAGTGGCATTAAAAATAATACCTCAGCCTTATTTGATCAGGTTGATCTTTAAGATTTCTAATTGGATTTCATAATCTTTGAAAATTATTTGCATTAAAAATGAGTTATTTCCATTTAAAAAGAGTACTGTGTAAAAATGTACTTTTTTGGGGAAGTGTGTAAATGCAGGCAAGAATACACCGTTAGACCAGGAGCATCCAGTCCCTGGAATAGAATATCATGCTTGGAAAAGTAGAGGGTCAACAGAAGAGGCCAACCCCCACTGAGATGGATCAGTGCAGTGAGTCAAACAGTGGTGACACCATATTGTGAGGATGGTGCAGGGTCAGATGGCGGGGGGTTGTCGTGAGTTAACCTACACATACAAACATGTTCAGTCTATCTTCTTCCCCAGATAGAACTTTGTGATACCTCTTTCTGCCTGTGTTGAAATCATCAGTTTAGTTGTATGTGTGCATGTATGTGAAAGAGAGAAAGATTACATGATCTAGAAGTATAATAAATCCAGTGACTTGAATTAGACCTAATTCCACAGGAAGCCCTTGTCCCTAACTTGTAAGGGGAGCAGGCTTGTTCCACAGCCTGCAAAGAAATGAGATCTTGTCGAACCCTTTCAACTTGAGCTAGCAAAGATCTGTTTGCTCATGGCCGCTGCCGGAATGGCCACTGCTGGGGCTGCTGCCGGCAGGGCTTCTTGGCCACTGAGTTGTCCTGGCAGAGCCCGGCATGCATGTGCTGTGGGCTGTTTCCTAGGTAACTTTCACCTGCTTTTCTGAGCGAAACTAGCCAGCTGTCAACATTTCCAAGATGATTTTTTTTTTCTTTTATAGCCCTTTAAGTCATAACTTTTCTCCCAATTTTAAAAACTTATACTGCAAATTAGTGTTATTTTTCCTCATTTACATAAACCTGACATTTGAAAATCGGGGTATTGCACAGGAAAATAGAATGTAAGTCCTCACACATTGAACATTATATGGCTTTTAAAATAATTTGATTAGGAGTTTCTGTAAACATGTCTGTTTTGTAAGGTGAGACATTCTGTAATGTTCTCTAGCCAAGGTAACAGACTGTTAGCTTATTATATGAAATGCTCCTCAGCCCTGTTAGCTTTCTGTCAGATGCATCTGACTTTAAATCAACCTGAAAATGGGAAGCTCCTCTTGTAGTTGCCAAATCAAAACACAGCAGAATATTATTTTTTATATAATATACCATGCTCATGAATATATTTGATGATTACACAGTGTTGAACTAGCTTATCATTTTGGACCCTGAAATATTATTTAAAATAATATTTTATGTACTTGTAAAAAATTTAATGTTTTTAAAAATTAAAACTCCCATACATCTGCTGCCTGCTTGAGCAGTTAATTAGCTCATGGCCAGCCTTGTTTGTGTTTACCTCACTTCATACTTCCCTACCATCCACCATCCCCAGTTAGGTTGTAGCAAATCCCAGATACCAAAAAAATGTACATAGAGCAATTACTTATCAGATTCTTCCTGATAAGTAAATGTCTTTTTCTGTTTAAGTGGATTTGGGGGTGGGCCACTAAGGCAGAAACAAATTCTGTTTCTTGTTTGCATATTTTTAAAGCATTAATATTCTTTCTTGCAGTCAAAGACACCAGCTTTGGTATTTGAATATATCAATAATACAGATTTTAAGGTGCGTATATACTTTCTCTCTCTAGCATGGGGCTACCAAGGGGTGGAAAGGTGGTGATGAGTATGGTTTACACTCCAGAGCACACGGGAGCTGGGAAAGTCACCTGGGAGAGATAGGAAGAACTTCCAGTGTGAGTGCAAGATGCAGAAAATGGTTAGAATTCATGCACTTGGTGAAATTACGCCTCACCCATACTTTGCTTCTGCTCCTGGGCTGGTCTGTCACCTCTCTACTTGATCTTAGCCAAAAGGCTGAGAAGTGATTGCTCTCTCATCTCTAACACTCCTTTTTGAGGCATCACAGCTTCATAGATGTTATCTTTCCTTTTTTAAATAAATCTTTCCTTTTTCATCATGTAAAGTGCACAGGACTATTGTGGAAAGAAGTAGTGCATTTCAAACTGGAAAATTCCAAGTGCATGCTCATGAGCCCTGTATATAAAGCACATGGTACAGAGCAACTAACTAGTTTAGAGTAACTGTGCTTTAAAATAGCCTGTCCTGAGTTCCTTTCCTGTTTTTATACACGTAATAGAAGGAACTCTGGTGGCATCAGCCAAAGGATGTTGCACTGCTTACCAAAGGTCTGCAAGTCAAGTGGTTCCCGTCTACCTTTTGGTACAAAATGAGCAGTCTCCTATCATTAGCCATTTATAGCCTCAGAAACCATCGAGCAAATGATAAATTGGAAACATCTTGATCACACTGAGGGGTGTTGTGGTTTTTAATACATTTGTGGTTGTTGTTGTTTCGTATCCTCAAGTTGGAACTGACTCATAGCTGACCCTCCAGTGGGTTTTCAAAGACAGTAAATCACATGAGAGGAGAATGCCCATTTTTCTCCCTAGGAGCAGCTGGTGAGTTTGAACCACATGCCTTTGTGTTGGCAGTGCAATGCCTTACCACAAAGCCACAGAGCTCTTCCTTTTGTACATACACTATATTTTATTTTAGACTAAACATGCTCTTTTAAAAGCGAAGTTTTGAGGCAGTATTTTCCCCCCATGTATTTGTTTATCTAACCAATCTTAACCTCTAATATTTTCGGGGTCCAGGCATACTGTACATGATGGAATCCCATTTCTAGAGCATGGTTTGAAACCAGCATTAAAGCAAAATAGTGCTGTTATCTTTGGGGCATTTTGGCGAACTTTTGGGTGAGTCTAACTTGTACTAATGAACAAGAGGCTTATGGTTTGTCTGATAGAAGATAAGAGTAAGACCAGCTCTGGAGGTGAAAGATCCTGGTGGCTAGAGTGCGGCTCTTAGGTGAAACGAAAAGGACCTTTATTCTCACATTTTCTTTTTCTTAGAGTTCATTGGTAAGAAGAAAAAGGGCCTCTTTTGACTTATGGAATAATTAATAGCAAATTGTTAGCAATTATTATATATACAGGGTTCCTTTTTAATGTGACTCCTTAAAAAGTGAAATGAACAGTGAACTCTAGAAAGTGGGGTGTGAATGCTTAACTGGTTGAGTAATGTGCTGATATATGTAACCATCACACCTTCACTGTCAGTGGCCCAGGTTGATCAGCATATACATGACTGGGAATTATGTGTGTTTCTTGAGAAGTAGACAAGCCTCAATGAAACCCAAGCATTTTGCTAATATAAAAAATGAAAACCTAGCCTTCATGAAACTGACTATACCCATTTTTTCTGTTTTACTAGTTGTTCTTTCACATGTGCAAAATTTCATTCCATTTTGTGTATTTGTTATCTGGCCATAGACGTTTAGGTTATAATTTCCTTAGCATTCTAGAGGAATACTGCAGTATTGCTACTGATGCCATTCTGATTAGGTTTCATCCCTTACGATTGTCTCATTTCTTCTGGAAGCTTTTTGGATTTTTCCTTTACATTTATAGTCCTCGGACGTTTAATGATAATGCGCCTTCATGTGGGTCTATCTCTCATCTCTGTTCTGGATACTTTGTGGGTTTTTTCAATCTAGAGATTCATATCTTCTGACTTGGAAAAAGATTTTTGTTCCCACTTTGATTTTCTTGCCTGCCTGCCTTTGTTCTGACTTTGTAGACCTTAATCAAATATTAGACTTCATAGCTTAGAACTCCATTTTGTTCTCTGAACTTTAAAAATGATAATCTTATTCTTTTATGTTTTATGTGCTATCTTTTTTCCTCCCTGAGAATAGTAGGGTTTCCTTCTTTCTGTTCTCCCTGCCTTTTCTCTGTTTTGCTTACAAGTGCTCTGTGTGTCTCATGTTTTTGTCTTGGAATTTTCTGAAATGGTTCTTAAATATCTGCTCATGTTACTGAGAAAGTCTAATGATTGTGAGTCCCTGTCTTGACTGAACACTGCAACATAGGCTGTGTTTCATTCTTTTTATTTTTAGGTGGTTCTTTGACCCCATCCTCCTGTTTTAGCTTGTTTCCCCTCTTGTAATTTTTAACAAATGTTTACAGAAAAGGTGGGCTTTCATTCATTTATTGGTGCACATTGTTTTCCCTCTCTGGATGCTACCTGGAGTCAACCACTCACTCACTAGCCTTCCTTTCTGCAGTTCATTAGTTAGAAGCTGTTTGCTTCTGACCATCCCCCCCCCCCCATTGGCAGAGTTTTTTACTTTTTTAGATCACTAAGTTAGTTGGACATATTTTTTCTGGCTCCAAAACATTGTTATAGTTCCCATTCTTTTCATTCTTGGGAGTTAATTACTCATCCACCATTTTTATTGCTGTTTATAGGAGCTTCAGCAAGAAGCAATGATAGAAACTGCCTTGCTGAACTTTGAATGTTCAAGCCATACCATTTTCATCAACTTAAAAAGATCATTAACTAAATCACAGATTGTTATGTACTATCAAGTCACTTCCAACTGAGAGTGACCCCGTATGGCACTGAATAAGGCTTCCACTTGTGAACTTTCTGAGAGCAGTCTGCCAGGTTTTAATCCCCACAGAGCCATTGGTGGGTTCAAACCCAGTTAGCCCTGAGTTCTTAACCAATGCACCACCAGGGGTCCTAAATATCAGATGTAATGGTTAGGTGCTCTTGAGTCGACTCTGCCTCATAGCAGCCCAGTGGACAACAGATCAGAACCTAAGAGTTTATTTTGTTAGAGCCAGTTGTGCAGATGTTTTGGGTTCCCCCCACCCCAAGTAGTATGTCAGACCACAAATAAAGAAGTTAGTTGGTTTAACATTGCTGCAAATGATAGCAAATGTGTTTCTAAGCATGGTTGTCAGTTTAAAGGTGTGCGGAAAAGTGTTAATGTCCTGGTATCCTTGAGGGTGTTTTTTTGTTTTTTGGTCATAAGCCAGAAACTGCCTTGGAGCTTTCTCCACTCTTGGCGACCCCCCCATTGGCTTTCTGAGGCTGGCAGGTGCCAACTTCTTCCTTATAATTAGTTGGTGACATGCTGTGTCACCAGGGCTCTTCCATCAATCAACATAGCTTACATTTCTGCAACTTCAGACACCTTTTAACTGTATTCCACGGCTAAATGATGTCCATTCAGTTCTCAGCTTGTGGATTTGGAGTTTTCTTTCCAAACTTTTTTTGTTGACAGTTAACCTGCTGGAAATTTGAAAGAATAGTACAGTTAAAACCTTCCCTAGTGCATCATTTGTCACGTATGCACACATGCTTTTCAGCGACTCATCTTAAAGTAAGTTGGAAGCATTATATATAATGTTTCCCCCTTAAATACACTAGTCCTGAAACTAGGACATTTCCTACATAAGTATAAAACTTTGACTACTGCAGGTCACCCTGATGGTGCATTGATTGAGCTTCTTGATTGAGCCCGAATGTTAGTGGCTTCAATCTGTTGAGCACCTCTGTAGAAGAAGGCTCATGATCTACTTCCAGGAAGCTGACATGGAACCAAGCCCTAGAGGGTGGTCCTACTGAAGTAGATGTGGGTCAGAATTGACTCAGTGGCACTGCACAACAACCATGTTAGTACCGTTAGGAATTCTTAAAATAACCGCCTTCTAGGGCAAACAAGCACGGGAAGACTGTTCAGAATCTCTAACTATTATATCAAGATTCAAATTAAGAACAATTATGAGATATCATCTCGCCCCAGCAACAGTAGCAAAGTTCAGCAGCGCAGCAGACAACATGCTTTCGAGTCTGTGGCAAGATTGGAACTCTTATTCACTGCTGATGGAAGTGTAAAATGATAAAACCACTATGGAAGGCGATCTGGCAAATCTCAAAAAGTTGAAATTACATTTGACACAGCAGTCCCACTACTGGAAATACACTGTAAAGGAACCAGCCAGCATACACACGGCTATGTTTATTGCTGTGTTATTCACAATAGCCAGGAAGTGGAAGCAGCCCAATTGGCCCTCAACAAACAGAATAACTATAGTACATTCATGCCATTGAATATTACACAGCACCGAAAAACAACTCATAAAACAGTACATAGCATTTAGGTAAGCCTAGAGGCATGCTGAGTGAAACATCTCAGTTACAAAAGGAAAAATTTTCTTAACACCACTGTTAAAAATAGGACTGATGTGGCAGGTTGGGGAGAAAATGGGAAGAGTTCCAATGCATTCTGCATTGGAACAGATGAGGGGAAGAACTGTGATGAGCTGTTACGTGTATGACAACAATCTGACACAAGAGGCACATTGCAAAGTGGACTGGGGAGGAGGAGGAAAGAAAAGGTGCAATTATGAATGAATGAAAACCTTTTAGTTTTTTAAACAATCGTTAAAAATCACAATTTAAAGAAAGGGGAAGGAAATCCCAACATTTGCCTGGGGTTGTGGGAGTAACCAACTACCCTCTAACATGCTCTGTAATAAATGTTTTCCTGGTAATTATCGCCACAGTAGTGATCTTTGCTAGGTATGTGTTTGTGAATATATGACCCAGAAGTTACCGAGACTTCTTAAAAATTTTTCGTTGTTCATTTTTAATTTGATTGCATCCATTACTCATGTACAAGTTCAAATTGAAGCCAAAGAAAATGAAAACAAGTCCAAGAGAACTTAGATATGATCTAGAGTCTAT